GTAAATATATATATTTTGTAAAGGAGATGCTTATAATTCAATTGGCAAGAAAAATTGTTAAGAGATGAACTTGAAGAAATGCCAAAACTGCACATAAAAGTTATGTTTTGCTGGATACAATTGCAGAATCTTAAGTCAAATATTGTGTATCAAAGTTGAAGAAAAGGTAAAAAAAAAAGTTATAAAAAACGATTTCATGTGTTTGTTGATAATTCTAAGTAAATCTTATTGATTCTCCTGTAGTGGCTTTAACACTAATTAACACTAAAATCCACTTCAAACATCTTTTTGTGTGTGCTTCCTTCCAAAATGGTCGTTGAGGTGATCTATGACCCCATTTAATTGCTTAGCGGTATTACAACAACATGATACATAAATGTTCAATTRATTGCTTTAAGATATCAGTCTACAATATCAAACATAGTGTAATTTGGAAGATAAGTGCAATTAAAGGTGATAAGTAGAGAGACAGAGAGCTTGATAAAGTAATGATGACATTACAGGCTGAGTACCTTATAATTCGCCATTGCATGAAGGCTTGTAGCCCCACCAGCAGATGCTTCCTCCGCCGACCATGGCTCGTCATTTTCTTGTCTTGGTAGTTCCTTTAATAGGAAACACACAGCACTTARTAATGAATGTTTTTTCAAACAAAGATTAACAAGTAAGTTCTACGCAATTGTTGTCGATAAAACATGTTGAAGTGGATGGCATTTTTTGGTGAACGAGGTCAAAACTCTTTCATACTAGAAGTTGTTACCATTAGGGACACGTTTTGAGACTTTTTCATACCACCACAGAAGTCTCAATTGAAAAACATTTTTAAACATTAAAGGTTGTTAAAGCTTGTTTTTTTTTTCGCTGAGAGGATTACCACTACTCTGACAAGATGGTTGTTTACTGGTGAATTGATAGTATACTAAGTGTTTTCTAACCCTAGTTCGAGGGCCTTTAGTGTACTATTATAAGTGTCAGGCTACACGGCTTCAGTTTAGTCAATGGGACATTTAAAAATGAAATACAGTTTTGATTTGAAATTAGTAGGGTAAATTTCGCACTCTCCTTGTACAGTCATCTATCAATTTAATTAAATCTTGACAGGAGACTACATCGCATATAGGAATGCAAGGGTCTTGTTTATTATCATATAGGCAAAACACGTGGCCAAATTCAGTGTGGATACAAAATATATCAACCTTGAAATTTGATAGAATTTACAGTATAGTTCGAGAGCATATAAACTCTCTGACAGCAAAACTT